GAATTTTTTATATACATACCGATATACATATTTATAATAATATTTTGATTTTTTAAATTTTAAAAGAATCAACAACAACTGGATCATTAACCGATGATGTAGAAAATGATCAAGAAAACCTATATGTTGATGTAGAAAATGATTGAGAAAGCCCGTCTGTTGATATAGAAAATGACCAAGTAAACCAGCGCAAAAAATCATTTGAGCTAGTAGTACCCTTTGATTTAGTAAAGGATCAAGAAGTTTCACGCAAAAGAATGCTTGAACTAATATCTGTGGATATAGAAAGGAATCAGAGAACTTCACGTGAAAAATCATTCAACTAACAACTATGAACATAGATAAAGTCGATAATTTTTAGGATGATAATGAATACTATAGAACGTCTGATGATGATAATCGACGTGAATCAGTAGCAACTAATATTGTGATTTCTTCACGGGAATTGGGTTCGCAATCTTCTATAAATAAAAATATGTCTGAAGCTTACCTTACAAAAGAAGAATTCAATTATACGATGAATTTACTCGATTCAAAAATTAACTCATTATATAAACTTTGCAAATATATAAGTGAGCGACAAAAAGATAACACCAAATCATTAAATAGGCTTATCGCACTTGATGAGCTTTCTGATAGTTTTTGGAATGTAAGTTAACACGTCTGGTGGTTCTATATTAACTTCTACTAATATACTATTATTTTGTAGCGTACATATAAGAAAGTAGTTAGGAAGCTACTACCTACTATCTTATTCCCTCATGCTAACAAATTTCATAAGGCATTAGAAGACTTTCTTTCTAAACATGCCGACCATTTTATTGAAAGTATTGGTAGAAATACCTGGGTTTCTATATTTGAAGAAAAGTTGTTACTGGAAGTAAGTTGAAAAATCAAAACTTTAAAGAGATCTTCAATAATTACATTATTTATTTTAATATTTTTAGATTAAAGCCAAATGTCGTAATAAATGAAATGACATTGCAGCAAGCATCCGTCATGCGATGTTTTTCATCTATGGCAGACGGTTAGATCATATCGATAATAATACACTAACAATTAAGATCACTGAATGGAAGTTAAGTGGAAAAATACAAGCTGCTTATGATGCGCTTTTTCTGATAATGAATTACTTGTGAGAATCGGGGATACTATTTTCAACAGTATAAAGACAAGGAACTCCTGACAATGCATTGTACTTATATTCTCACTATCTGTGACATCTTATTAAATCCAAAAAATCCTGGAATAAAATGTAGTGACAAGTCAGTCGTAAAGCGGGTTAATGCATTTATAGTAAATATATTTGCAATACTCTAAATTTTGAATATTTTGAATATTATAATTTGATATTTTTTTTTATTAAACAGCGTGCCTATAAATAAGAATCCTATTACACAAGAAGTAATAGAACAAATAGCCAATGAAGAAGCCAAAGTTACTGTACATAACAAGAAACGAAATAAACTGTCATTACAAATTGAAGGAAGCAAAATAACCATAGATGATGATGATGATGATTATGACAATTTGGTAAGTTAACTGAAAATATTTATTAATTAATTATCGATATATTTACAACATTTTGAATTAACAGATATCATATAATTTTCTTAGATTTCTGGACTGAATTGAAGTTTTAACTGCTAGCTCATTTTTTATTAGTAATATTTTTATTTTAAAGCGATTTTATTTTCCTATATATATGCATCATATTTGCGAATATTAAATAAATGATTTTACATGATTTTTATTAATTATTAATTATAAAAATGATAATAAACAAAAATCACGTAATTTATAGATAAAATTGTTTCGAAGATTTATTTAATAAAAATCTTATGCATAATTTTTAACCTAAAAATCTGCACAGAAATCATGAAAATTTTCTTCGAAGTTTAGCGTCATGTACAGAGATCTGTACAGGAAAATCATATTACGGATCTGCACAGATCTGATGTTCAAAAATTTTCCCGATAAATGTAATATCATAATAATTTGATTTTACTTACAGTATTTAACATTTGCGATATTGCATCACATTTATTGCTTATTCTATAAGGATTTTTTATGAATTCCTTATGCAAGGATTCATAAGTTTCTATCGTAAAGTTGTTAATTACATCATATTCAGTAATTGCCACAATAGTGTGATAGATCTAATTGTGCAATTTCGGTAATTGCAATTGTGATGGTGAGTACGACGATAGTAATTTTATAAATCTTTTAGCCCATTCAATTATGAGTGACTATAAATTAGATTAAATGTTATTTGACATGATATGCATTATACAACGTATACAAATATACATATTGATATACATTGAATTTACCTTGAATGTTTTTAAATCTGATTCTGTGAATTCATCTTTCAGGAAAAAATGTACATTTTGTTTCAATCAACATATAACTGAACCAATTTTTTATCCATGCTCTTTACTTGGTTTGTAGTGTAACCAGAATATGTAACAAAATGATAATGCCATCAATAACGAATACAAGTTGGTGCATCATTGCCTGAAATTCTGCTGCTATGAATCGTTTAATATTGCCCAAGCTATATTTGAATAATTTAAAGTCTGGAAAGCGAGGTATCTTTCCCAAACGATTATCAAATTCAATTACACCATTTGTATCACACCAATCTTTTAGCAAATCTCATATAAATTCAATTTGATACTTATACAAGCCAAGATCTAGATGATGTATCCTGTCTGGCAGGCACGCTTGATATACATTAAATTGTCTAAAATAATTATATTAATATATTATCTACTAGTAATTACATTTAATGAAACACTTACTGTAATTTCCAGAACAGGTTTTTAATATTCTGTAATGAATATTCTGTAGCAAGACCCTCTTGTAATACATATTACATCATTGTAGGTGTACGTAATTGAATTTCTGAGTGATCAATTAATGGGTTATTAAATTTGTCTTTCGGTGTTATACATGCATAACGCAATTGGCAGAATTATATGTTAATGTTATAGCATGCTGTTATGGTAAGTCTCCAAGTAAAATAGATAAAAATAGATAATACTATATTATACTATTATCAGTGTGTAAATCAAAACCTCCAGTTGAGTTTGATTTGATTGGCTCGATGAGGATCTCCAATGAATGATAAAAAGGGTAATACTTCACCAAGGCAAAATTGTGTTGCCTTTTTTGTTTATCAGATGCATTGATTTTAGGCAAATATGCTAGTAAAACTTTGGCATCTGATTTATTGTGACACCAAAATGATATGTTACCTAGAGTTAAAAACACAGGATGCTCTAATGTCTTTTCAAGTGTATCACATGTCATCATGTCAGAATAAAGAATAATAGAAAGTACTTTAGCGTCTCTATTAATTGATACTTGTGTATGATACCATTACTTACAATTATATTGCTCACCGTAACATTTTTCTTCTTCACCATTATCATTTGTTGTATAATTTGGTATATAATCAAATATACAATGTTAGAGTATTTCTTTATTATATAGCAACTCTTTAATAGCATCAAAAATTGTTTAATAGTGCAATGCATACTGAATTTGGTCGTATTTCATCACAATTGATTTTTTATATAGAACATAGGGGATCTGCATCGAATCTAACAGTTTTCGGGCTGCTTTTGCATTTAAAGGTAATGTGGCCATTGGATCCATGTAAAAGTTATTGAATAGGCCAATAATATCATTTGCCACAGAGTCAGAAAGGTGATGTTTGACAAGTAACTGTACAAATGCTTTGTACGCTTAATTTGAAAATGATGGTGCTACATTATTTGCACTCTGAAATTTTTGGGCTGATCTAATATCTATAACAGTTGAAATAAATGAACTTTCATCTGTGAGAGATAATAAAGTATAGTTTTGTTCTTTATTTCCAACATCTGTCATATCTATTTTATTGTTTTCTTCTTTTTCATCATTGTTCGTTTCGCTTTCACTATTTTCATTGAGAATCAGCACATTCTGTAATACAAAATATGAGAAAATAAATTTGTACAGTTATGCAACATAAATTTCATTTAAACATATTACATGAACATTCTCGTCGTTCTTAATCCAACATTAGTCTTTGCACTTGTCATTTATATCCAAAGACTGTTTTTTGAACTGGCTTATGGTATCATTAAATAAGATAGGCAAGAGAACAATTCTTTGAAGAGTATTGTTAATGATAGTTCTTCTCAGCTCATTTGTATTTCCTTGAGTGTTGGTTCATTTCCATCTGGTCTCGATGTGTCTGAAGATGATTTTGAAAAGCACTACGTCTAATAAACGTTCGCAAACAGTATTTGCATTGAAATATTCTACTCTTTTCATAAGCTAGAGTTCTTTTTCTATTTAATGTATTATGTGATGACATTATTAAGATGATGGTGAAGCTTAAAAGTTTATACAAAGTATGATTTCAAATAATGATTTTAAATCTCTTCTTTATATTGTGATATTTAACTAACTTATTTTGATCAATAATATATATTGTTAGATATAGTTATTGAATCAACCAAGTTAATTACATCATTTTTTTTTCTTTTATATAATACATCAACTTTTTATTCTTTTTTTTCTTTATAAAATTGTCTTCTTTTCTTTTATAAAATCATCCCTTCATCCTTTCTTTTATAAAACATTAACCAACTTTTCTTTTTTATAAAATTTACAATTTTATTACATGACAAGAACTAGTTGCAATGAAAGTAGTTTCTAAGACTTTAGTAAATAACTGAAGTCATATTTAAAAAAATAATAAGAAAGAAGGACACCTCTCAGAATATGACATCATCAACTCGTAGCAAGAGTAAGAGAATTGCATCATCTAATGATGAGATTCCAAACAATAATCCTTTGGCTGCTTTTGCATCTATTAAACAATCTCGATCTGCTACACCTCACTTTAAACCATCAAATTGCAATACTCAAGTAAACAATAGTGAAGATGATATTGTTATTTCATACTAAACAAATAAATTTGCTAATTTATTATTTGTTGTAAGTGCAAAAACAATCAAAAAAGGATAAGGATATAAGTGAAAAAGTTAATATAGTACGTAAAGAGACTTCAATAGTAGTAGTAGAAATTTCCATACACGACTACTCAAACACTGATAACAATAAAAATCGGGCGTTATCTAGCAGATCATCTATGACTTCAACTTTGAGTACTCGTCAATTTAAGGTAATATATCGATGATAATGATTGTAACGATTATAATATACACATATATATTATACAATAATGTTTTAGGATAATTTTACCATGAATGATGAAGAGCAGGAACATATAAAGAGAAAGAATAGTGTTGGTTCTATACATGAAGTCGAAATGGATCATTTCGGATATCCGAAATGGTTGAAATGGTCGAAATCATTTTGACCATTGAAGGCTAAAGTCGCGAAATAGTCGAAATGACGTCATATCACATGATTTT